CTCTTCCGCCTGAACGAGAACTACCCTGCCTGTGTCGCCATCGCCGCCGTCATGTACTATTTTCTGTCAGCGTCGTTCCTCTGGATGAACGTCATGAGCATCGACATCTGCCGAACGTTTCACTCCAACAGGTACAAAATCAAATCTAAAAAGATCTTCATCCAATACTCAATCTACGCCTGGACGGTCCCATTATTAAGCACCGTCATCGCCGTCTTCGTGGACCAGTTCTCCTCTGAGACCTTTGTGCTGACACCGCAGTTCGGGACGCATAACTGCTGGTTCAACAACAAGTGGGGCCTTGTCATGTTCTTCACCTTCCCGTCCGGCCTCGTCGTCCTCTTCAACATGGTGCTCTATGGATCTCCCGTCTACGACATCTACAGGCAGCACACGTTCAGGCGAGTGCGCTCGTCGACCGTGAGGAAGAACGGACCAGCCGAGGAAGAAGAAAAGCTCGGGAGGGGGGAGAATGAGAGGGAGACGTGCCTGAAAGAAGTCCGACACGGACGGCACGGAGACCATGCCCCGAAGGACAAGAGCAGTGATGAAAAGCGACACTGAGCCGGTGACGCGGACGCATCAAGGAGCGGATTCTGTCAGAGCGAGGAATCCAGGCTCACAAGAAGCAGCGGATCCGTCTGGTCCTCTACTGCAAGCTGGCTCTCATGAGGGGCATGCCGTGGATCTTCGCCTAGTCTCCATCCACACGCAGTCGCTCGTCTTCCGGGAGTATCCTCTTCATCATTTTTCAAAACGGGCTTCAGGGAACCTTCATCTTCATTGCCTTCGACTGCAAGCAGAAGCAATGGGACGAACGCAAGCAAAGGTTCAGAGGAGAGACGCCTTGCAGAGTGGAGCAAAGTCGTCCTTCAAGTACAGAAACAAACGTCAAGACGATCTCGTCATCAGGAGGTCACTACACAGTACCGGTGTCTTCCAATCAACGGCACAGGACAGGGCTACTTTGGTACTCATCCAACGCACAAGAACAGGCATATTCCCGTCCCCCGAAACGAATCATTCGTGTATGACACGAAAGAATAAATAACTCTAGTACTGGAGATACACCATACTCCCAAGTGATTAGATAACTAATTTCTGGAGATTATATATAATCTGAAGGGCTGACAGTTAAGCCTGGTATCTGAATAAGGAACCTGGATTAACTACAAACTACCATAATACGACGTGAAATAATGAAAATGGGTAACTACCGGTTATCCATTCCAATACTCAGCTCATCCTTGGCCATGATTGTCTATAATCTGAAAGATGTAGATGTGTGTATTAGTATAGTGTGTGTGTGTGTGGTGTGTTATATATATATTTCTCTCTCTCTCTCTCTCTCTCTATCTCTCTCTCGCTCTCTATCTCTCTCTGCTCTCTCTCTCTCTCTCTCTTCTCTCTCTCTCTCTATTCTTATGAACATCGCACACATACATACCCACCTAGTATATATTAAGCAAGCAACTGTACATGTTACTGAGCGTGTCTGACATAGTCGAAGAAACTGATTTAACCGCCGACACTCAAACTACAACACAGAAAGCTTGCGAATCAATAAGACTTATATAGTCATGGCGTGCTGCCTATTCTTGGTTAAAACAGTAAAACTGCACAGTTGTTGGATATTAATATATCTATACCCTGCTAGTGTCGTTGCTAAATGTTGCCCTTCACAACATTAAAAACTGCATACAGAAGGTACATTATGCCGTCGTAGAACAAAGCTCCATTGATGAAAGTTCGAGAGAAAATACGATGGTATCAAGTGACCTTTTTACCTCGTTTTACCTCTGTGCTATTATTAATCTCGAAATGAACAACAGTTTTCATTTACGAAGAAAATATATACTTATTCCTTTCGATGTATATAAAAGCTGTAGACTTTGTGTAATTTACTTGTGTATCGTTGAATTGCTCTATCTGCATTGGCATATTGTGTATATGTGTGGTCCGAGTTGTTTGTAATACTGTGTTATGTGATTATATTTTTGACGATTTGATACTTCACAAAACTCTCTCTCTCTCTCTCTCTCTCTCTCTCTCTCTCTTCTCTTATCTATCTATGTCTATTATCATCTATCTTGCCCCTTCCTTGACAGCCCCCCCCCCTCCCCCCACACGTCTACTATCTTAACGCGCTCTCGTGGCCAGGACGAAAGTACAATGAAACTGTCGTATGGTCAGAAGCGCTGGAGCTAATTACACGTGTAAAATTCGTATCATGACACGTCTATATTCTATTCTAGATGAACAAAGAGATATGAAATAAAAAGTAGGGACTATGAGAGTAACTATATTCCATTTTTATATTTAGTAAAACTCAAATACAGAAAAAAAAACTTGCTAAAATAAAAACTATGTCTACATCTGTCAAATTATCCCACAGTGTGGTTCCACGCGCACACACATATGTGCATACTATATATACATATATATTTATATGTACATGTTCTATGTTACACACAAACACACCACAACACACACATCACAACAACACACACAGCACACACAACACACACACACACACACCACACACACACACACAACAGACACACACACACACCACACACACACACACACATTATGAGATATAGATATATATATATCTATATATATATGTATGTATATATAATATATAGAGATAGATAGATATATTATATATATAATATATCAATAAACACACCACACACATACATACATATATGCATGTATGGAATATATATATATATATATATATATATATTAGAGATATATATATATATATATATATTCTATATATACATAGATACATCAAACATACGCTATATGTGTGTGTGTTGAATCCTACATCATTTTCGAGGAAATGTTTTTGTGTTTTATCCCAATAACTAAACACATAGCGGTAACATAAGCGAATTTTGTGATCTTATCAGATCATAAGGATGTTGCTGCTCAGATTCACAGGTATTTCATATTAATCAACTTATTAAGTTATAGATTTGTTACAGCTTGCAAATAGAAGATAACTCATCTAACTCAAAATAACACAATGAGACTGAAAGAGAATAACAGACGTAGTATAGTACAATATCAGTGGGAAACAAAACATCGGAAATTGTGTGAATTTAAAACCATTTTCGTCAATCCATGTTCGATTCATACAACTCCACGCGCAGTGCGCAAGTTAATATTATATTCTTATATATGTTATGGCGTTTATCAACTATTATGGCAACAAAAATGCTCGCATACAGCAGACGTAATAGATTGCAACGGCATAATAAAAAAAGAAAAAAAATAGGAAATGGCATTACAGCTTTGTTTCCAATCATCAGAAATGTACAAATTGTGTAATCAACAAAGGATTCGCTTACTGGCAATCTTAAAAAAAAAAAAATTGTTGTTCGGTCAGCATGGCAAAGACAATCTGATATCAACATTCTTCTTACTTAAGAGTTCATCCCTTTTCTCACTCAAAAGATTAGCCGACACTTGCTACGATCCCTGGGGCTTATGAACCATAAGATATTCATTGAAAACACAAAAACAACGAACTTTACCATGAAAATCTGTTAGGATATTATTCCGCATACAAAGTATTTGGATATAATTCACCGTAATTGGCTTCGCTTTTCTTTCGTAGAGATGTAATTTCCTTGTAGTGATTTTTATCAGTTTTAAACATTTGGTTGACAGATGCCCACGAGGAAAAGTAAGCTAAAAGTTAAGTTAATCTCCCCCTTTTACAAAGAGCAATTGCCTTTTTCGGATCCACGGAGACTAACGACCATCGCACACTAGATGAAAATTTCTTCTTACCAGGTGTGTGTGTCTGCATAACTGTGGTGTTTAAGAATAGCACAGTATCTCATTTGTTGCATAAAACGGCTTTATGATATAATCTCTATCTCTTAACTTATACGCCACCCCTTCGCGATCCTCATTTCATTTACCATGGCTTTGGTGGAATTTAATGCATCTGTCCTCCCTAACCATACCCAATAAGCCTCAGACCACACACTCCCAGCTATCTACAAAAGCCACATAGGGTTATTTGTAACCAATGTGGGGTATTTGCTTATCTGTGTTACTTCTACAGCAACACTGTAATTCCATTCACGAAAAGTAATTCCATATTGGTGAACTTTGTTTCCACATGAGAATCCATTAAGTCTTCCTTAGTACGGAATATGTAATCAAACGTTGAAGCGCTTGTACACACGGAGAAATGGATATTGACCACACACAACAACACACACACACACCACACACACCAACACACACACACACACACACACACACACCACACACACACAACACACACACCGCACACACTCACACACACATATGATATATGATCTCTCCCATCTTCTCTATGAATATACATCATTTACTTATATAAATATTCAGAGATAAAGATATATAGATTTAAATATTTATGTATATATATCTATATCATATATTAATCATATATATGTTATGCTACATAGTTTATATATATTAATACACATATCTGTGTGTATATATATATACTACGTACAGTAATATCATACACATATATATGATAATATACATATACATTATATATATATATATAGGGAAATATATACCTATACAATATAGATGACAAATATATATATATATATACTAGAGATATATAGCTATATATATATATATAGATAGAAGATCTGTAGGCTATAAATCGCCGCGAGTGCACACACACGATCGACGCTTGTGATGTGTGTGCATCAATGCACCCCGCGCATACTCCTCGCGTACGTGCGTGATCACACGCATGCGGATTCTTTTAGGTAATCAAGCCTCGATACGTAGTCTATAAGTGAGTCAACGTTGATTGATGATGAGTTGAGAACCACCAACAGTGATACCTAAAACTCCCCGGGAGTATATGGGATCTATACATACATACATAGTCACAAAATTAAAACACACTTCAAACACACACACACAGATTATATATGTATATATGTATATATCTATATTATATATATTATATATATCTATATATATATATATATATATTAATGACTGTCGCGTGCGTCCAGTGGTTAAAGCAATGGACGCTGTTAACGCGCAGAACCACAGTTGATTAGAAAAAAAAATGTAGTATATATGATATATATATTATATATATATATAATATCTAATATACAAAATATATATAATATATATATATATATTATATATATATATATATATAGATATCATATATACATAAATATACGGAATATGATATAATTATTTTTTGCATGCCATGCGCATGCACATGCAGATATGTATATATGTGTGTGTTAAATATACATAGATTATGAATATATATATATATATATATAATATATTAATAAGTATTATATATATTATTTTATATATATATTATATATATATATATATAGTATTTATTAAATCATTATGTTATAATATATGTTAGATATAGATATATATTATATATATATATATATAGTATATATATATATATATATATATATATATATAAATAGATATGTATATGCATATATATTATATAGATATACTATATTATATATATATATACTATATATATATATATATATATATATAATATATGATATGCATATATATATTTATATATAATAATATATATATAGATATAAATATAATATATATAATATATATATATGACTGCATCGCGTTGGTCCAGAGGTTAAAGCACTTGGACTCTGTTAACGCGCAGAACCACAGTTGACTTAGGAAGAAAATAAAAAATGTATATATATATATACAATATATATATATATATATATATATATATATATATATATATATATATATATACATATATATATATATCTATATATATATATATATATATATAATATATGTATATATTAATATATATTACATATATACCTACATATATATACGGAATATGTATATATATTTATTTTTTGCATGCATGCGCATGCACATGCAGATAGTGTATATAGTGTGTGTGTAAATATATATATATATATATATATATATATATAATATATTATGTAATATATAT